GAGCAGGAAGCCCGATGCGGGACTCGATCCCAGGACCCTGGGACTGTGCCCTGAGCCGAAGGCAGACGCTTAACGACTGAGCCACCCAGGCAACCCGCCCCCGCCCGGACTTTGTTTTCTCTCAGGCCCCTGTAGGCAGAGTGTGTTGATAGTCTTCACACAAACACACACACACACACACACACACACACACACACACGGGCTCAGGGGTGACCTGTCCCCACAGAGATGCCAGGGGGGCTGGAACCTCGTCATAGGCTGTCCACGGAAGCAGGCTGTGACGCTGCCTCCCCACTCAGAGCCAGAGGGTGGGTAGGTTTGCATGTCCCCCCTATGGCTTCAGCCTCCTGAGAGGAAAACAAACAGAGTTCCGTGTTTTCCAGACCAGTTTCCACTACCTAAACTAGCAGGAATTCTCCCTCTTTCCCTCCGTGCTCGCATTCCTTTATTCCCCAAAGCCTAATTCATAGCCGGGCCCTGCACCCAGGATGGCAGAGCAGAACCAGAGGCCTCCCTCCCTCTGGGGAGCTCCCTGCCTCTGCCTGCCCATTAGGCGAGGAGAAGGAGACATGGGGTGGGAGGCAGCCCTGGGTGTGAGCAACCCTCTGTGCCCGCGAGGGGAGGACAGGGTGACTAAGGCAGGCTTCACGGAGGAGGGGGCCCCTGAGCTGAGTCTCAGAGGCTGAGTAAGAGGTGGTCAGGCAGAGAGGGAAGGGAAAGGGAGAGGGAGTCCAGGCAAAGGGCAGGAGGTGTAAGAGGGCTGGGTGTCCCGCCGGTGGGAAGACGTGCCATGGAAATGACTGGCAAGAAACAAGGAGGTTTTGCTCAGAGCTCTCTAGAAGCAGGAGGCGGAGCCGGCCATGCTGGACCACACAGGAAGCACCACAGTGGGGTGGGAGGCAGAAGGGGCCAGAAGAACGCATGGGCACAGGCCCTTACTGTGCTTTTGCAGGAAAGGGAGGGCAGGCAGAGTGAACAGCTTAGGACTGGCTGGTTGGAACAGTGTCAGCAGGCTCTGGGCTGTCGGTGGTCCCTCGTTGTCCAGGACCTCCTCCACCCTGCCATTCTCGAGGCGGCAGGGTTTCCTGGTCCGGAGGAGCTCCCATCTGTCTGGCAGGGGATGAGGGACTCTCAGCCAGGATTCGAAGTCCCCACAGGATGACCCTTGCCTATGGGTAGAGCCCCAGAGGACCAGCATCCCCCTGGCGGGGCTCCTGGGTCTCTCTGCAGCTCAGATTCCCAGAGCCGGCCTGCCAGGCTGGGCTTCTTCCTTCAGCGAGGGGTTGAGGAAGCACTTCCTTCTTCTCAGCCAACCCCACCCCAATGTGCTGGCCCAGCGGATTGGCCTACTTTATTTCTTTTTTATGCCCCTAGAGGTGTCAGCACTAATTTTAATCCTTTTCCATACCCTGGACTAAAGCATGTTTACATGGTGTTATTCTAACATGATTCATACTTGCTCATAATGCATATAAAATCATAGTCATATTTTCACTACAAACAAGAATAAAAACCTTTGCTTTTTGCACCTGGTTTCATTTATATTATCTGGGCTCAGGGTTAGATGCAGCTTGAATGATAGCTAATGTTCTATTTTTGAGCAGTGTTTTATCGGTAAAGAAACTGAGGCCCAGAGAGGGTAAGTGACTTGTCCAAAGGCTCTCAGCTCATCACCAGTAGCACGGCGGCTGGAGCCACAGTTCCCTAACACCCCGTAGAGCACTGTGGCCTGGACTGTGTGTGACCCCTCCGTATTAGTGTCCCAGGACTGCTGCGACAGTTACCACCCCGCTGGTGGTTTAAAACAGGAGATATTTATTCTCTCCTAGTTCCGAAAGCCAGACCGAACATGAAGATGTCAGTTGGGCCCTCCTTGCTCTGAAGTCTCTGGGGGAGGGTCCTGTCTTCTGCTTCCAGCTTCTGGTGGCTGTGGGCGTTCCTTGACTTGTGGCCGTCTTACTCCAGGCTCTGCTTCTGTCTTCATGTAGCTCCCCCTCTTCTCCCTGTCTCTCCTCTGGGTGTCTTCTACAAGGACACTTGCCATTGGATTTAGGGCCCACCGGATAATCCAGGATGATCTCATCTTGAAAGTCTTAATTGCACCTGTGGAGACTTTTTCCAAGGGGGAGATCACGTCCACAGGCTCTGGTGGACATATCTTTCGGGAGGTTGTCATTCATCCCACGACACCCTGTAAGGTAGCATGACCACGCAGGGGACTGAAGAGGTTATGGGCCTTGAGTCAATCCGCCTGGGAGCCAATCCCAACAGGAGGCCAACAGGATAAACCTAGACATCGTGAGCCTGTTTTTCCAAGCATCCCTTCAATCATGACCTGGGGTTATTTGCAAACATGGCCCCTTCTCTGTTCAATCTGTCACCAGCCCTGTCTCTGGGAAGCAAGGACTCGCTGGAACACACCCGGGGAGGATTTACTGACCTCCTGGGGAGAGGGAAGTGTCCCTTTCACCTATACCGCCCTCAAGGAGGACGCATTTCTCTTCCGGCAGAGAGGGCCTTGGTTGCTGTTGGTACCGTAAGTTTAAATGTGCAGAGACAATCATGTGCTGACAGGGCCACGGCTCTAAAGGAGCGTGGCCTCACTATTTCAGCATCTTTTCTGACTTCTAACCTGGGCAGTTCCTTCCCCTGTCCGGACAGTCACATCATCTGAGCAGCAAGTCAACTCCATGTGGGTACCAGACATCTCCTTGGTCTGTTTCAATGACCCTCTTCTTGTCCTGGCTACTTCCCAGATGTTGATGGACAATATATCTACGTATCTGTATATACATATATATCTCTATATTCCATATACATAATTACTATATATACTATATAGTAATTATTAGAAAAATGGTGGAACGTTATTACAGGTAATGTTGAAAACTGCCGTAGTGCCCAGTCCAAACGTGACTGCTCGTTTTGGCTTTGTGCTCGCTTATGTGTCTACACACCACTTTCCCTCACTGGCAATCATACTGGATGGACCATCATTTCGTGCTCTGTTACCCTTTTTCACCAAATTCATTCATTGCTAATACATCTGTGTCGAGCATGGATCATACAGCAGTTTTGCTTCAACATTTCGCCACATCTCAGTTTTTATGGGACCATTATAATTATCATTGCTAATGGCTGCCATATCCACATGTCGACGTGCCACGATTTGGGTATTAGGACAGACTTTTGATTGGCTGACAGCCGTCTAATTCTGCTCTAATCCCACTGTGTGGGGGTCCCCACCACCGAGCAATTCTCAGCCACCAGCTGGGTGTCCCAACCCAACCCATGCCAGTCCCAAGCTCAGACTGGAGACTCCAACGACCCCCTCCTTGGGTTTGATCAATCTGCTAGAGTGGCTCACAACAAAGAAACATTTCACTTTCTAGATTACCAGTTTATTATAAGGGGTAGAACTCAGGAACAGCCAGATGGAAGAGATGCACAGAGCAAGGTATGGGGAAGGGCATGGAAGTTCCATACCTTCTCTGAGCACTCTGCTCTCCCCAAATCACCAACCCAGAAGCTCTCTGAACCCATCCTCTTGGGTTTTTAGGTAGGCTTCAGTTACACCACGAATGATTACATCATTGACATTGGCAGTTGATTCAACCTCCAGCCCCTCTCTCCTTCCTTGGGGTAGGGGGGTAGGAGGGACAGAAAATTCCAACCCTCTAATCACTTAGTTGGTTCCCCAGGCAACCAGCCCTCATCCAAAAGTCACCTCATTAACATAACAAAGGACCTTTATCTCTCCGCTCTCACCACTTAGGAAATTCCAAGTGTTTTAGAGCTTGGTGCCAGAAACAAGGACAAAGACCAAATATACATTTCTTTTTATAAATCACAATACCGTGGAAAACAACCCCAAACAAGTCTAAGAAGAGGAGCATGCACTGACATCTACAGTGGGAAAGTCAAGGGTAGGACTGACTTCCAAGCATGACTGAAACCAGATGTTCGAAGGATGCTGCTGGCAATGTGCTTGGTCCTGCTTCCGCGGGGGCTGACTTCATTTTCAGGCAGGCTGTCCCCACGTGGCGGCAAGATGGCTGCTAGCAGCTGTAGCTCCTCCTCCACGAGCCGAGCAACCCCCGCTCCTTTCCCCCAGGCCCAGCAGAAGTCCTGGGCCGGCCCTCATTAGAATAACTTAGGTCATGTGAGCAGCCCTGGGCCAATCTCTGTGGCCAGCAGGGGATGCCGTGCTCTCATTGGTCTGGCCTTGGTGATGTGCCCTCCCCGCGCCCAATCCGACGCCTGGCAGTGGCCCCGCCCAAGTCACGTTGCTTGTGGAGAAGTGATTGATTAAAGTGAGATTGGCTGGCAACAGGAGGGGTGGGTCCTTGGCAGGCGGGCGTACACACGTCTCCCCCTTTTGCTGGATTTCTAGGGCTCTCTGCCCCCCTCCCCAGGATTCTGTTATGATAGAGGAGGACTCCCTTCTGCATCCCATTGGGGCAGCTCAGCCTTGTCCAGTCGATCTGTAGGGTCTCCACGGGGATTTTGTTCGAGGCAGTATTGCGTGGCTTAAAAACATTTGAAAACCAGGGGCCATAGAGTGCCTTCGAGCTCCACATGGCTGAGCACCCGGGACGTTGAATCCATCCCTCAGCTCTGAGCCTGCCTGGTCACCTCCTGTTCTCCTTTTCCCCTCCTTGTGCTCCTTCTCTGCCTTCGTCTCCTTCCTCCCGTGCATGCCGCACTCCAGCAGTGGGCCGGGAGGCTGGACGGTCAGTGGTTGGGCTGGACAGATGGAGTCAGGGCGGAGGCCTCCCCTCCAGCTCTGTTCCCTCGAATGCTGCCCTGGCGAGCCCCCCATCTCACGCTTTCTCCTCCAGGGCAGCAGCAATGGGAACTGCTCTCTTAGGGCCACCGGGACTTGGGAAACTCTGCTGAAACCAGTTAGCACCTGGCCCCTGACTCTTTTTGTTTCCACCCCTCTGCCCTGGCCCAGGTCCTGGCCATCGTGATGGATATGTTCACAGATGTGGAGATCTTCTGTGACATTCTAGAGGCGGCCAACAAGCGTGGGGTGTTTGTCTGTGTGCTCCTGGACCAGGGAGGTGTGAAGCTCTTCCAAGAGATGTGTGACAAAGTCCAGATCTCTGACAGCCACCTCAAGGTAGGGGCCCCCAGTGAGCATCCAAAAGGGATTTTGTATTAGGATAGGATAGCTTACGCCATGCTAACAGAACCCTCCCCCCCCATCTCAACGGCTTAACGTAGTAAAGGTTTATTTCTTGCTCAAAGTCCAGCGTAGGACAGACAGCCCTCCCTCATCCTGTAGCTACACCATAAGGAATACATGGCCTCCCAGATGGCAGTGGCAGGGAGAGAGCAGAGGGATGTGCAGGACCTGACCTGGAAGAGATTGCCTTCACTCCTGCTTACAGCCTCATGAAGATACACGGGAGCTGGGAACTGAAGGGGGCCCATGGGTGTCTCGTGAGCAGCAATCTCTGCTGCACATGCCTTTTGTCCTCTTGGCTGAAGAAACCCCGTGGCCTCACTTCACAGGCCAGGGCAGCATCCACGAGTCAGCCCTGACGGGAAGCTGATCCTCTTGGACTGAACCCAACTCCCCACTGACTTCCTTCTTCTGGCAAGGAGAAAAGAAACCCAGAGATAAGGGTTCATTTAGTCATGTCAGATTTAGGGCAGCTAACTCAAGGTCCGATGTAAAACCACCCAGTGTTTATGAGCAGGCTCCGAGGAACAGCGGATGGGTGGGCCCCTTGGTGACCCTGCTCTAGCTCGGTCAGGTCAGCCTCCGGGAGACCGCGCCATCCTCCCTTTCTCCTGCGCGTCCCCTCCTCACTGCCTGGGACGCGGCTGAGTTCAGGCACCTCCCGGAGAGGCAGGCCTCGGTCCTGGGCTTACTGGGTCTGCTTGACCAGGATCACACCTCCTCAACAGGAGGCCATCAACAGAGGTGCAGAGAGTCAGCGCAGGCCTTGCCTCCGTGGCCCATGCCGGCCACGCCTGCCAGTCCTCTGTCCCCCAAGGGACGGTTGGATGCGGCCCTCCTCTTAACGTGTCACAGAGCTTATGGAGGGGCTGGGAATCGCTGTTGGAAGCATTGCGCATCCCCTTCCCAGAGCCTGCCCAGCCACCAGGGACATTCAGGGGATCCCAGCAGTAGCCTACCTTTCTGAGATACCCGTGCTTTACCCACCTTTTCATTTCTCCAGCCTCCCAAGGGTTCTGGCTGAGGGCTGGGGCAGCAGGTTCCTGGGGGCAGGGGAAGGGACAAACGGGGCCATGATTTGGGTTGTGGACACACCTTTCCTTAGGAAAATCTAGGGTCCACTGAGGTTCCGCAAAGGTACCCCCTCCGGCTGCCCTTCCCTCTGACCAGCTTGGGGTCAGGGACTCATGTCACTAAAGCCACTTAAAGGGCAAGGCTGGGCTTGCCAGGCCTCTGTGGTCCCTGGGAGCCTAGATGGAGGGCTCCATGGACATTAGGCCCTCATCTTTCTTCTGTTTGCCACTTTGTTTAAATTCTACCATCTCCTTTTTTCTCCCCCCTTCCCCCGCCATGACTCAAATAATGTCAGGACAATGAAAAGAATTTAGAAAATTCAGCCAAGGGAAAAATAAAAATAGCCAGTGAGCCTATGAATAAGAGATAACCCCTGCCTATGTCTTGCTGAGCATCCTTCCAGATGTTTTCCTAGGCAAGCGTGTATCTACCTACATGCATGTAATTAGTGAATGACGCCTTGACTCTCCTTCCAACAGAACATTTCCATCCGGAGTGTGGAAGGAGAGGTGTACTGTGCCAAATCAGGCCGGAAGTTCGCTGGCCAAATCCAGGAGAAGTTCATCATTTCGGACTGGAGATATGTCCTGTCGGGATCGTACAGGTGAGCACTGGGTTTCACCTGCCGACGGCTTCGAGGAGGCCAAGGCTGAGCCTGGTGCAGAGCACCCCCAGCCGCTCAGGCACTTACCCCTCCCAGCCCCGGCCACGCTGGGGCTGCTTCACATACATGAGGCTGGAGGCAGGACCAGCCCGGGCAGAAGGGGGACATCTGGACCCTTCGTGGAGGGGGCGGGGGGCTTCAGGGTAGAGAGGCACTTCCAAGTTTCCTTGCAGATTGCAATAGGACACAGAATCTTCTTTTTCCCTCCTCAGCTCTCTCAGGCGTGATGGTAAAGCTATGCAATTTGTTTTGGGCTGTGTGTGTGCGTATGTGTCCTATTTTATTTTCAGAAGTGTGTCCAAATTCCATGGACCTAAGGCTGGTGCTAGGGACTGGCCGTGGCAGCAGCCTAAACTAGGAGTCAGACAACAGAGGTTCAATTCCTGGCTCTGTAGCTTCCTGGCTGGGTGACCTTGGGCAAGTCACTGCACCTCTCTGTTCCTTCATTTATTCGACAGCTATGTAGAGACCCACGGGTACATACCAGGCATGCTTCAAGGCTGGGGTGCGGCTCTGGAGCTCCCATTCAAACCAAGGAGATAAACAACAGCCAGTCGTGGTGGGCTTAGTCGGTAGAGCATGTGACTCTTGATCTTGGGGTTGTGAGTTCAAGCCCCATGCTGGGTGTAGAGATTGCTTAAAAAAAAAAGAACCAGTACAGAGAAGAGACGGTCTGTATTTGCCCTTGTGGAGCTCATCATGCCGAGGTGGGGGTGGGGGTAGCTTGCCCTTGGTAGGGGCAGAAGGAAGCAGAACTAACCTTGTTGAGCTTTGTGTCAGGCCCTAGGCCAGGTGTGATCAGACCTTTAGGAAGGATTTAATCATGACAACCCTTTGAGGGAAGCATTATTCTTCCAATGGACAGATGGGGGAACTGAGGCACGGAGAGGGTAGGTGATTGACCCAGGGCCACCAGCTTCCTTGACGAGGATCCCCAGCTCTCCAGCCGTCTTCCGGGCTTGTCATCCTGATAGGGGAGGTGCCAGGAGGAGGGGGCCGGTGGGCTTGAAGACATGCAGGGCCATTCCCAAGAACTGAAGAATCCAGCTCCCGGAGAGAGGGCAGGACAACTATAACCTGGTTTGCACTCAGCAGTCAAAGGTGATCTGCTTGCCAGCCTTGAGGACGATGCTTCTCCCCGGGTCTCTCAGGGTTGTCTCTAGTTAATACAAAACACAAGTCTCCATCCCATCTTTCAATGCAGCTGTCCCTGGGCTTCAGATATTTTGGCCCTGGTTGTAGACAGTTCTCCCAAACTGAAGAGCCCTGTCCACATCTTCAGCTGAGGGTTGGGGCTGAGGAGGGGGGGTGTGCATTTCAACATTTAAGCTCTTGTCTTAAGACAAGAAAGTCTTACCCCAGCATAGGCACCGCGCCAGGTGCGGGGGACACAAAGCTTGTCTCTGTTGTCAAGCAACATGGGTAAACAGCCACAGAGCGGTGTGGTGTGTGCTCTCAGATCAGCATGAGCTAAGAAGTTGCCCTGGGGCCAACCAGGAGGGAGCTCCGGCTTCTGCTGGCAGGTACAGGAGGTTGGTGCCTTTGGGGTTGGGCCTTGGTGGGCACAGCATGAGAACCTAACTGGCCCTGATTCCTTTCCTGCCCTGACCCACACTTCCACCTCTGAGCTTTCTCTACCTGGAACAGAAAGATTTTTAAACACAAACCAGATCAGATCACTTGCATCCTTAAAATCCTTCCATGCTTGTCACTGCTCCTAGTAAAGGAAAAAAAAAAAAAAATCATGCTTAGCATGACCTCTGTCTGGGCAGGATTCTCCTTCCTCCCCAGTATGCTGTGGCCACACTGTGTTCCTCCAGGTCTCTCATGCTCTTTGAGGCCTCAGGGCCTTTGCACTTGCTGTGTATTCCCTCTGCTGGAGAGGTCATTCCTGCTGTCTTATCCTGCGAACTCCTTATCTTATAGTTTCCAGATCATCTCCTAGAGAGCCTCTCTGTGGACTTGTTTAGCCAGGATTGTAAACATGACGTCAGGCCCTGGATTGGGTCTGTTTTCTTCTCTGTTGTGTTCCTGGCATGAAGTACAGTTCATCTAGTGCCTGAACATTATATATGACCATAATATTTGCTGAATGAATGAATGAATGTCCATGTAAGGTCCTGGCCATCCAGTGTAGCTAGAGGAACAAAGTGTTTTCAAACCCTGTGCATCATTATCCGTTAGCAGGATATGAAATCAATTTAGTGGATGATGCCTGGAATTTTTTTTTTTTTATAATGAAATAGGATAGAATAAACATACTGAGGGCACACTGAGGTAAGGAATGTTCTGAAAACTGTTGTGTGGTGATGTATGTGTTTGTATATGTGAGTAGGTCATGTATTAAATATATTTCTCCAAGATTAGCCATGATAAGTCTGAAGAAGAACAGGCAGGGAGGACTTGCCAGAGATCAGGACGCCTCGTGAAGCTGGAGTCATCATGACAACGTGGCATTGGACGAGGAGCAGACAGACTGACAGATGGAACAGAGCAGAAAGCCCAGAGACAGGCCCACCCATGATGGGGAGTGTCAGAGCGGTGGGGAAAGGAGAAACTGGAAAAAAAAATAATTCTCTACACGGAAAATTAGATTCCACTTCATACATACACACACACAAAAAATCACCTTCCGATAGATTAAAAGGCCTGAAATGTCAAAAACAAACTTTAAAACTCTTAGTAGAAAAGAATAAATGAATATCTTTTAGACCTTAGCATAAGGATTAGGTGTCTTAACACAGACACCCCTCTTTTTTTTTTAAGATTTTATTTATTAGAGAGACAGGGAGCCAAGCAGGGGGAGGGGCAGAGGGAGAAGCAGGCTACCCGCTGAGCAGGGAGCCCGATGCGGGGCTCGATCCCAGGACCCCAGGATCATGACCTGAGCTGAAGGCAGACGCCCAACCGACTGAGCCCCCCAGGTGCCCCCAGACACCCCTCTTTTGTGTTAAACACAACACAAAAAAGCCTTGACTCTAAAAGATTGCTAAACCCATCTACATTACGATGAAGAACTTTGGTTCATTGAAAGATAGCTGAAAGAAAGTGAAAAGTCGGATTACAGAGTGGGAGCAGGTTTTCATGATGCCCTGACAAGATTAGTGTTAAGAACCACAAAGAACTCCTGTGAATCATAAGAGCAAAGCAGCACAAGGAAGAGCAGGTGGGAGGCGGGAGTGGGCATTTCAGCCAGGAGCAAATGCATGTGAAAACATGAAGGGGTGTTCTGCATTATAAGTGACCAGAAAAATGCAAATCAAGGCTAGAACCGGTTGCCATTTTATACCTTTTCAAGTAGCAAAAAAAATAAGACTGACAATACCAAATGCTGGATGTACAGGATCTTTTCTTTTCTTTTTTAAAGATTTTATTTATTTATTTGACACAGAGAGACACAATGAGAGAGGGAACACAAGCAGGGGGAGTGGGAAAGGGAGAAGCAGGCTTCCCGCAGAGCAGGGTGCCCGATGTGGGGCTCGATCCCAGGACCCTGGGATCCTGACCTGAGCCGAAGGCAGATGCTTAACGACTGAGCCACCCAGGCACCTCATACAGGATCTTTTCTACATTGATGATGGGATTGCAAGTCAATAGAGTGACTTTCAAAAGAGTTTGGAATTTTCTCCTAAAGCTGACTATTCACCTGGTTTACGGTCCAGCAATTCCACACCTAGGGTTATTTCCAAGAGAATGAGTCCACGGGACAGTAAAAGATGTGTAAGAATGCTCGTTATAGCGCTGGTCACAGCAGAAATACTGTTGAAGCAATGGGAATGCTTGTCAATGGAAGAATGGATGAATAAATCATGATCTAGCCACTGGTGGAATATTATACAGCAGTCAAAAATGAATGAGGGACAGCAACCAGAGATAACTTGGATAAATCTTAGCAATATAATATTAAGTGGGAAAAAACCCCAAATATTACATATATGTTAAAAACAACCAAAATATTTTCTTTCCAGAATACATAAGACATTTTTTTAACAGAGAAAGGAAAGTATGGGAATTATGACACAGGTTTTGGGGTGATGATTCCCTCTTTTGAGGGGGACCTGGAAAATAGGTTGCTGGGAGGGACCATATGGTTAGATGCTAGCTTTTTATTTTAGGTGGTGGGTTTGTTGGTGCTTATTACGTTATTTAAAATAACTAAGTAAATAGCTACAAAAATTAAAAGGGGCCAGGAATAGACCAGTCATGAGAGATTGTGACGAAGTCAATTCCATGTACTAAGGGCCAGAAAGCAATAGATATGATGTGTATTTCCTACCACGGGTGGTGATAAAGTGTAAAAGCTAGGGCATGGAATGAAGGCCACGCAGGGTGTGAAGGAGGGGAGACCGGGACACCAAGGGACCTGAGGGGGGGTGCAGAGGCCCCTGGGGTGGAGGGCAGAGAGGGCGTGGGAGCCTGAAAAGTCTCCAGGGCACCCTTGGACCTGTTTCGTTGCGTAAAGCACACAGTTGCTTGGCCTAATCTAGTCTGATTTCAAACAACACAGGGTGACTGACATCTTAGTGTAGCCAAGAGTCCTGCTGTCCCCACGTTTGCCGCCTTCCCTGCCACCTGGCTGGCCCTAGGCTCAGCATCAGCTGCTCACCTCTCTGGGGTGTGTGGGTGGCTCCTGGGTGGGAGGTGAGGTGTAAACAAAGCCTCATTGTTCTTCCCAGGATTGGCCCAGCCTTGCTTGGGCCCCACCGTGCCTCACAGAGCAGGGACTCTGCAGGCTGGGCTGGGCTGGAGGATGGGGGCGGGGGGGGGCTTGTCATTCCTGTTCCTGTGGGCCTGCCTTGTGTTCCCTCTTCCACCTCCCGAAGAGCATGGGATTCTCCCTCCCCTCCCACTAAGGAGCAGCCCGCGTTTTGCAGCTGCCTGCCCCAGACCCCCCTTTGGTTAGAAGAGGCAGGGGTTCCCACACTTCACAGGGGGCTTCAGCAGCTAGGGGACTCATCAGCACAGAGTTGGGGACACTGGGACTCAGCTGTCGCTTAGCCGTTTTGGGCTTCAGCAGGGAGAGGCGAGGATCTGAGCACCAGGAGGGAACCCTGAGGCCAGAGATCCAATCTCGTGTCTTCACTGTTCACCTGCAAACATTTGCTGGTTTCTGCGCCACGGTCTTGCCATCCGTGAAGGGGGTACCAAGGTGGCCCTCCGGGGGTTCTGCCGGGATGAAATGAGCAGGCCAGAGAAGCGGAGGGCTAACATTAAGTCATTCCCCCCAGCCCTGCATGAGCCCACATCCCCCCACCCCGCAGCAGGAGCCTCCCTGGTCCCACCCGTCACTCTCCTCCTCCCCTGCAGCTTCACCTGGCTCTGCGGACACGTCCACCGGAACATCCTCTCCAAGTTCACGGGCGCCGCGGTGGAGCTGTTTGACGAGGAGCTCCGCCACCTCTACGCCTCCTCCAAGCCGGTGATGGGCCCCAAGTCCCCCAGGCCGGTGGCGCCCCTGCAGCCCAGAGCAGGCCGCAGCCCCCCGCCCGGCCGCCTCAGTGGTAGTAGCTGCTCAGCCAGCGACCACACATCCTCCGACCCCTTCAGCAGCGCCTCGACGGGCAGCAACCCCCAGAACCAGAGTCGGCCGGCGGCGTCGGGGCCCAGCAGTCCCCTGGCCCCCAGCTCCCCCCCGCCCCCCAGGCTTCGGCCCCACCATGGCCCGTGGGGGGCCCTGAGCCCACAGGCGCACTTCTCCCCGAGGCCCCTCGCCAGCGCCCCAGCTCCCTGCAGCAACCTCAGTGCCTACAGGCCCACGCGGCAGCAGCTAGAGCAGCTTGGCTTGCTGCCCCGGACGGTCCACATCTGGAGGCCATTTCTACAAGCCTCCCCTCATTTCTGATGGGTCGCATCCCCCCAGCAGCCCTCCCAGGGCCAGGGCTGGGCATGCCTGGACTGTCTGGCCCAAGGACCCCACCTCAATGACTAGTAGCTTTTGAACTTGCTTCCCTTTGGACTAAAAGTGCTTGGACAACATCGTTGCCTGTGTTTGTTCCCAGGCCTGTGACCATTCACTTGCCAACACCCTCCAGTCCCAGGGGTTCCCTCTCTAGTTTGGCCTATGGAGCACATTCCAGAAAGTTCTAGGGAGGTGGGGGGTGGGGAGCTAGAGGACAAAAGCATGAAAATGGAGTCCTTTTCTTCCAAAGAGCAGCCAGTGCTTTAATAATAATGTTTCCTGAATCTCTGTAATATAAGAAGGGGCAGATGCAGCCCAGGTTTCACATATGGGTAAACCGAGGCACGAAGAGGCAGACTGTGGGTGTGACCAAGGTACTCCTGTTTCCCAGTGCCCGGGAATGGCCCACTCTACAGAAGGTATGGGAACATTTCGGGATGTTTCTGGGAAGGGTGGTAAAGGCATAGTAGTGAGGTATCCCTGGGGCCGGTGAATTAGGGATAAAGCCCCAGAATGTGCCACTCTAAGTAGTGTGGGGTCGGTTGAAATTGTAGCCCCCAAGGATGGGGCAAGCCAGGGTGTCTGTGGGATGGAATTGGGCCAGGCGGTTCATCAGCTCACGTTCTGGCTTTGGGGAGCCTTGGGCTGGTCTCGAGGTCCCTGAGTCTGGGCCAGTCCCAGGGGCTTGTGTTGTCAGGATCTGGGAACCGCCCTGCAGCAGCGCCCAGGGCAGCCCGAAGCAACCAGGAAGGGTTCGGCATTGACCTTGCAGCCCCCTTGCAGTCAGAGCCGGGGACTCCATCTGGCTTGTTGACACCTGAAGCAAGGATGCTGGACCCTCACAAGCCCCATCATTCATTCACTGTCAGATTCACAGTGTGCCCTCTGTTCTGGAGGTGGTCCCAGATCTTGGGGTACAAGGAATACAGCAGGCACAGGGAGGGCCAGGCAGCCCAGTTTGGGGAGGTCAGGGGACACTTCCCAGAGAAGGGACAGTTAAGGAGGCCTGATGAACAAGGGCATTAAAGGTGGAGGGAGGGTTGGGGCCCAGGCTGTCCCAGCCTGACAGAAGTAGGCACAGAAGCCCCTCAAGCATCTTCCTGTTTCTGTGACCTCCCCCTGCCACCAACTCACCTCAGCAAATGTCTTCTCGTCGCTCGTCTCTGGCTCAGCAGCTTTGCCTTTGCCATGGAGGGCTGGGAGGACAGAGCCCTTCCTCCTGTTGGCTTCGGAACCCCAAGAGCTCATGGCATCCCAAGTCACGCTCTCCAGAGGGTTCCTCCCTTCAGCGCATCCCCGTGTTTGTCCAGTGTTTGGCAAAGGCAAAGGCGTCTTTGCTTCTGTTTTCTTTTAAATAGCATTCCTGTCCTCATTTCACTTTTTTCCTCCTTAGTTCCTGAAAGTCCAACAACAGCAACAAACCCTTTGGTTCCTGAAGGTTCTTTAAACCCCGGCCCTGATGTGCTGTTTTCCTGCTGACCGCCGTAATGAGGTTAGAACAGTTGGGTGCTGCTGAAGGTTCTAAACCGGATTCTGCAGTCTGCCGAGAAAGCTTCAGGAAGGTAAAGCTTGCCCGGGACCCAGAGCCCCCAAGGCCTGCTCTGCCTCTGCCTGCATCTGGCTTAGTCTGAGCGGAGCAGAGCAGCCCTCCTGCCCCCAGGCCCTCTCCACCAGCCAGGCGCCCCACTGCGGCCTTCTGACTGGCTCACGGATATTGTTCCTCCTCCTCTGGACACTTTGTAGTGCGTGTGACCCCTGCCTGCTGGGACGTTAGCTGCGGTTTGCTGTGGCTGGAGGACTAGGAGCAGAAGTGAGGATCACTTCCAGGCAGAGGCTTTAAGAGCCTGGGTGCAGTTGGCCATGCAGGAGCATGCCTCAGACGGAGCCCCCTCCACCAGCCCAGATTCCTGAGAGACTGTGGTGAGCAGGACCTCCCACTTCTTCCCACCGACCCCGCCGTGGATAAGTAGCAGGAGCCAGAAATAAACCTTTGTTGTGTAAGCCACTGAGATTTGGGGTCATTGATGACCGCATCATGAGCCAGCCTAGCCTGATACAACGTTAGGACCCGCTCACGTGAGGCTGGGCCGTTCCTTTGTGGGACTGGATTCCCAAGGGCCCCCAGCCCTGGGCTCTAACCCCAGACACTATTTCCACGAGACACTAGGAGGGTTTTACACACACAGCAAGGGGCTGACTGAAGAGCCAAACAAATCCTTATCCAAGTTTCCAATCCTCCCAAACCCGATTTGCCCCGTCTTGAATTCTGCTCTGGGCTAGAATCACACCTGTAGCTGCCTCGGCAGCGCTGCTCGCTGGGGGCCATCCTGAACATACGGCGTCTCTACCGCAGTGTGAAATTCCACAGCAACAATGGGGTGCCCACCCGTATGTGCTGACATCATCTCAGCGCCAGGCAGAGACCCAGACTCACCTCTGTCCGGAGAACTCCAAAGTCGGCCGAGGCACCAACACTCACCTGAACCACCACCATGAAGAACATGAGAGAATGAGAGAAATAGTATGAGAGAGTTGCCCGGCGTGGAGCGGGGACGGATGGATCCCTAAACCCCACACCAGGGATTAGGGATCACATTATCCACACGTGGGATTATCAGCCACCGGCTGCAAGTGTTGGTCCCCCAGGCCTCTCCTAGCAGTTATCTGTTGTGTTCATTTGGTCCTCACCAGACACTGATCTCTCATCTCCCAGTCTGCACTGAAAGAGCCGGGAGGCCAAGGACACTTTGCTGGCCCGAGGGACCCTCACCTCGGGGCCGGGCTGGTCCCAGCGCACAGCGAATGCCGACTGACTGGTCAAGGAGCTTTGCTCCTGCAGGGGACACGAATACTCAGCGCGGGACGACTTCTCTCCCCGGCCCTGCTCGCACCTTGGTGTGAGCCCCCCGCGTCCCTGCCCGGAGCGCCAGAGCCTCATCTCCAGGCGCTTCATTCTCTGGACCTGGTCCAAGAAGTTGTTGGACACAGAGCATCTGTCATTCACTTTCTCAGCTTCCTCCTGAGGAGCGTGTGTGTGTCAGAAAAGCTGTCAGCAGGGAGTATAAACACCACAGACACACCCGCACGAGCACAAGCACAACCTCCTTTTTCTCGTGCTCGCTGGGTTTGGACTGAGGCAGACGTGGTGCGTCCCGAGCTGCTCTGTCCTTCTCTCCTCCGCAGGGCCTGGTGACGGAGCGGGTCCTCGCGCCGCGGGGCCTCGCTGACCCGACAGCCTGCAGAGGACGAGGAGGCTGACCCTCCCGAGTAAGGGAGCATTCCTCCTGCCCGACTCTGCCTTTGAACTGCGACACGGGTCTCGCCTGCCATCAGACTCGAACTGCCACACTGGCTTTCCCTGGGGCTTGAGCCTGGAGCTACACCCTGGGCTCGCCCGGGGTCTCCAGCTTGTCAAGTCCCCCCGCGGCCCGCGGGACTTGTCAGCTTCCATAATCACAAAAGCCAGCTCATGTAGTCCATCTCTTGTACAGACAGGTGGCAGAGATATGGGTATAAATATGCACGTTGTTGGTCCTGTTGCTCTAGAGGGTTCCGACTTGTAACAGATTTGGCGCCGGGCGCTTAAAGGCCTAGTCTGCAAATGCAGCCCCAGTCTGAGGTACTGGGTGAGGGCTTCCGCATACCACTTTGCGGGGCGGGGGATGGTGCGGTGGACAGAGTCCAGCTGTAACAGGCCTGGCCGGTCCATCCGCCCCCCCTGCTGCCTGCCCCCCGTCTGTCCCCTCGGCACTCCTCTCCTGCCCTGCTGCGGGACAACGGACGGCCGAGTCAGCTCAGCCGGGCCTCTGGAGACGGCCGTTCTCCATTCCAGCTGCGTCTCTCCGCCGGCAGGGTCAGGGGCTTGCTTCCGGCGGCTGCGCTTCGAGAACGGCACTTCCCGACTTCCCGACTTGCAAACGTCGGCGCGGGTGAGCTGCTCTCGCGGGCCCTGCGGCGCTGCCCGCTGTCGAGGGCCGAGCCCCGCACGGCCGTTCCGGGAACCGTCCCTGCCGGCTCCGCGTGAACAGACGTCCGGTTCGCATTTCCTTGCGCAATTATTCTAGCCCAAGTCCTGGGAGGCCAGCCTTGGTTCCCACGCCAGAAGGGCCTGGAGTCCCGTATTTCACCGCCAGTTTGGCCCTTCGGGGGTGCCGGGAGTTGGGCGGCCCGTACGGATGGAAGCAGATGTGCCCCCGGCTCTGAGAGCTTATCGTCAAGAGCCTCGCGGCCTCTAGAGCTTGCATCTTGCTAACCTGTGGTTTGCTGGGTCTGAGAGTGACCTGGTTGGGGTGGGGGGGGGGGGGGGGCGGTGCAGGCCTGTATGAGGGGAGACAGGAGCGGAGACTGGAACGTGAGAAGCCGTCAGCCATGCGAAAGGTGGGAAGAGTGTGCCCGACAGCCGGCAACCGCTAGCTGCAGTCAGCCTCATTCCACGTGAAATGGGAAGCCCCGAAGAGTAGCAAACTCTACAACAGTGGGAATTCCCTAAGGCACTTGGGACATCTTGGGTATCCTGAGGCCACCTCCACCCTCCATGTTAATGCTAATATCCGGGGCTTTCCTAGACCCCAAAAACACATATTGCATGAAGCGCAAAGACTTTAAACATTTGGAAGTAAAATCAGATTTATCAGTCCAAAGCCTAACCCTAAACCAGCCATTCCCCTGCTCAAGAACTTTCTATAGCTGGTATTTGTCCCCTGAGCGAAGTCAAACTTTTTACTGTGGCATCGATGACCACCCCTCCCATAATTTTATGCTGGCTCACCTGCCCGGCCTCACCACCCATGTCCCTTCACACCCACTCACCTGGATGACCAGCCTTCGTGTCCTCCAGGCCGTGGCTCTTTTCATCTCCCTACTGAGAAACCCGATGTGCTTGCCTTTCGTTCCCCACAGAGCCTGCTACAATCTTTCCCGTTCCAAGGTCCAACTCAGATGTTTCCACCTTCCTGAAACTTCTTTGAAAGCCCAGCCTTCCTCTGTACTTCTGCAACACCCAGACCTCCCTCCTGCCCGCTATCTACTACTCACGTGGATGTCCCCTTACTTCTGCTAGAGAACGGAAGCTCTTGAAAGCAGCTGCTGCATTTTTGATTTGATACCGTCTACAATAATGTTCTATCAAGGTTTTAAAAAGGAAAGTGACATATAAAAGAAATAGCCCTCTAAGAAACAAAGCCTTATTCTAAAACCAAGATTGAAAGGACCCAAGTGGCCTGTCTGAGGATTCTTTGGTTGTAAGTAACAGAAACTGAAACTACTTCAATAGATTCTGGTAGATTCTAGCAAGATTCTTCAAGATTCTAGTAGTAGAGTCAAGCAATCAACTTAGGACCACAAACGTTATAGCTTAAAACAACACAAATTACCTTACAGGTCTCTAGTTCAGAACTCCAACGTGGGTTTCACTGGGCTAAAATCATGGCGTCAGCAGGCCTGTGATCCTTCCTGGACACCCTAGGAGAACACCCATTTCCTTTTCTTTTCTAACTTCCATAGGCCACCTGCATTCCTTGGCTCATGGCCCCTTCCTCCATCTTCAAAGCCAGTAGCATAGAATCTCTCTGACCCTGACCCTCTCCTTTTGCCTCCATGTGATGGCTAACTTTATGTGTCAACTTGACTGGGCTAAGGGATGCCCAGATAGCTGAAAGAACATTATTTTGGGTGTATCTTGAGAGTTTCTGGTTGAGATTAGCATTTGAATTGGCGAACTGAGTAAAGAAGATCACCCTCCCCAATGCAGGTGGACATCATTCATCCCACTGGAAGCTGGAATGGAACAAAAAGGCAGAGGAAGGGCAATTATGCTCTCTCTGCTTGAGCTGGGACATCCTTCTTCTGCCTTTGGACATTGGCCCTCCTGGTTCTCTGGCTTTGGGACTCAGATCAAGACATACACCATTAGTCCCCTGACTTTCGGGCCATTAGACTTCTCAGCCTTGAGAAGTGGTTGAGCTATGAGCAGGTAAACCTTCCGTCCTCTTTCCAATTAGTTAGAGTCATTGAGTACAAATATGGCAGCCAGGTACCCACCTGTGTGGGTGAGAGGGTAGTTCCCAGAGATAGGGGGTGGGGAGGTTGTTAGCTCAAGGGCTAAGCAGACACAACACTGAAGCTTTAGGTGAAGTCACTGCCAAGGAGGGAGAAAAGGACAAGGGTGAGTCCCAAACAGATGCCAGTCCTCTATCTTCTCTATTATAATCCTATATATATATATATATATAAAATCCCATTTGGGAAAAAAAGCACAGGCACTATGAAATTTAAAGGGGGACCTGAGCAAGTCTGGGATCAGGAACATCTTGTCTGAGGATGATTCCTGAGCTGAGATCTGTAGGAAGGGGAAGCTGATGGCAGGATTGGGAGATGGCAGGGAAGAATGTACCAAGTAGAGGTAACTGGATGGGCAAAGGGCTTGGGTGGGAAGGTGCTTGGAGTCCTGGAGTCCAAGGACATGAGAAAAACCAGTGAGTTGCGGGGGAAGGTGGGCCAGGGCCAGACCACGCAGGGCCTCACACACAGGCTTCATGAATGAGTTGGGAAGTCACTGCCAGACTGAAAAGTCTTTGTAAGATCCTTTGGCCACAGTATGAAGATTGTAGAGGTGTTAAGAGTGTAAAGGAAAAAGGACTCTCACCAGTTCAAATACCAGGTACAAACTCCTCCTTGGGAGAAAATTTTGAAGGCAGGCCTTTCGGGAGTCTCAAGAGGCAAGAATTGCCCTTGGGTCCCACCCCACCCACCTGGAGTGTAGTCACCTCTGTGGTTCACCTTTGCTCACCTTCCCAGTGATTCATTCATTGACAAGAGGGTGGAGTGTCTAAGTAGACAGGCCTGAGATTTTTCTTTAGCATAATCATTGTTCAGTTAACGCTACCCTTCACCATCTGTGCTGGAAATGATCAAGATGACGTGTGTAATAAAACTCTGAGGTGCCCGGTATTCCTGAGTGCTCTTTCCTGCCCTGCATTACAGCTAAACATCACACTGCAGGCTTCTCACACACGTCACCACATTGCTGCCAGGAAAGTGAGGTGGGGCAGGTGTGCGGGAAGATTCCCGAAGACCACTCAGGCAGTTTGGGACAGCACAGACGATGGATCTGGGAGGACAGCCAGATGGCTGAAAGCTAAAAGCATGGACAAAGTTAGAAGGGCACTAGGATCGAGATGGGAAGCCAAGCCAGACTAGAGGGAAAAGGGCATTTCTAGGAAGCCTAGACTAACAGGAGAAAGGGGTTTAGCTCCAGAAGGAGAAACAGGCAGGGTGCTTCTGCCTTAGCACTGTGTTGGATCTCCGGGGGATTAAACTTTTGTGCCAACAAAATGAGATGCTGGCCAGTTCAGAAATTCAACAAATATTTCATGAAATGCCAAGTATTCTGCCCTGAGGATACCGATATGAAAGACAGTCCTAGTCACTGATTTTACAAAGTTTAAATTCTATCGTGAAAAACAAGCAGGCGATTACAATAGAGTAGGTAAGAACCAAGATGCAAGTGGAACAGTGAAGGAGCAGGAAAGAGGGAAACCTACTGCCACCTGGAGGTCAAGACTTCTGGGAAGCTGTAAAGAAATGGAGACCTGGAAGGTGAACAGCATCAGCCCTATGATGGGGGGTGGGGAGAGGTGCCAGACCAAATTGCCAGTGTGAAGGCCTAAATGCAAAAGCTATGGTGCCTCTAAAGCTGGGGAGCAGGGAAGGAGGGCGCCTGGGAATCAGAGGCTCTATCGTGAAGGGATTGGCAGTTCGGGCTCTATCCTGAGGGGCCATTTGCAACTAGACCATAAACTCCAAGACAGAGCCAGTGTCTCCATGGCAACCACACAATGCTTGTCACGTCACAGGAGCTCCATAATGATTGTTCATGACTCCGTGAGTGGATGGAGGGCAATGGGGAGCTGTTACGAGGTTTCCATACTTTTTAATGGTTCCTAGAAATTACGGTGTCTATTAATCATACCAATCTTTTGTTTCACATTAGAGATAAATGACAACTTGCAATTACTAGTCAGGCTATCGTAGGTACTAAAAGAGCAGTCAAAACAGAAACAGAATCAGACGTTTGTCTGTTTTGGGAAGGGGCGTGCGAAGGGGTGAAGCAGCAGGTGAAGTAGAAGGGAAATCCTGAGGACCCGCTTCTTTGCCCAGGGCTGGAATTCTTTTCCCTCTGCTGAGAATAAAAAGCTGTGTGGGACAACACTTGACGCAGTTTTTGGTTGACTACTAAATTCCACTCCTCATGAGGGAGCTCTTCCATTCCAGACGATGTGAGTAAGGTAACGGCCTTCTGTATCGAAGATGTCAGAGACTGTGACTATAATCCGTGTGTCTGCAAGGACAGGACCATCACCCTGCAGGACAGTGGCCCGCGGGCCTCGTGTTTCTGTGCATCTGGTGAGCAAGGCACTAACCGCCCTTCGTTCCAGACTATCTTTTCATCACGATGTCTGCAGAGCAAACAGCCTCACAGGAGAGATGGCATCCCCCTCTGCAGCACCAGGCAAGCCTGCTGACTGCTGCCCAGTAGAGAAGGCCCGAGTTTCTAGAATGCAGCCCACTCCATGTGCACTCTTTCGTTTGGGCCCATACACAAACTCTCAGAGCCTTCGTAGACTTTGACACACCCTTCTCAGAAATGGTTTACTTTTTACATTTCAATATTCTTGTTCTTTCCTGATGAATTTACCTGAACAATGTGGATACTTTTACTGCTAATTATAACACAGTGCCTGTTTTTAAAAAATATATATCTAAGAGCCTCTTTTATTCACTTTCCCAATAGATATTTCCTAAAGGGAGAGTAGGTCTAAGATAAGTGAATGGCAAAAGTCTATAAAGAAAACAAAACAAAAAAATCAAGAAACTGAACACAGTAGAAATAATCTGGAAGAGAAGCTGTTTTTATAAAACATAAATAATCACTTTTAAATTCACTATATTCCATGATTAGCAGTGGATTCTGTATGAAATAAACAAGGACAATTAAAACAGTACAGGATGTTTTGTTTTTAAAGGGACCACTAAGCCAAGATTTGTATCTCTGTATGGAACTGATTTTCAAAGGGACAGAAGTGGTCTTTGATCTTTCTGAACCACTTGTCTTCAAATTCTTTCGAAGATGCAATCACCAAGGCGGTCAGGGCTGTAGAGCCAACACACTTCACCTCTGTGTGAACCTCATCTTTTATTTTTTCTGGGACGATATCTTCTCCCATAACCTGCGAGAAAAAAAAAACACAAAAAACTATCCC